GATATGTAGAGGGAAAAGGAGGAGGGGAGGAAGTGGGAACTTGAAATGGTACATATAATGAAAAAAGATAGTTTGTTCTCTTTTTAAATTTTTTTAAAAAATGCAACAGGAAGAGTACAGAGAGGAATTGCTATCTTCAAGTACATGATGATGTTAAGAGTGGCTTCATCCAGACCAGCGAGGAACAGTGATCCACACATACAACCAAGCCCGAATGGCGACTGTAGGCATGGCAGGCATTGCTCATACTAGTTTCACACTCTCTAATGACATGCTGCTAGCCAAACTGGCTGCTGTCTGTGAAGACTTCACCAGGTATGGCCACGCCACGCTGGAAAGAGATAAGCATATGAACATCTTAGAACTGACCAGGCGGCTTCCCTCCAAGTCGTTACAGGTAAATGCCATAAAAACAGTTCCAGTGACGCTTGCTGCTCCTGGCCACCCTGCTTTATCTTAAACTGTGTCCTTCTTCAGATAGATGGTTTCACTATGAAAATCTTGTTTACGACCTTGAAGACTCTAGGGGAGCCATAGAGACACTATAGCCCGGGATACCCTGAATACCCATGTTTGAGGAAGAAATCAAGAACCCAGCAGAAGTCTTTGTACAGAATAGAAAATGAGACCGCAGTGCTTTGGGAAGAGGATTTAAGAGTCATGGAAAGCCTTGAATGCTGAGAACCCTACCCCTACTTCTAGACAGGCATGATAATTGGAAAGACCCAAGGTCAAACGAGTATCATTTGGAGACCATTAACTTTGTGAACATTGCTAGCACTTCAAAAGAGAAATGATGTCTGTGAAATCTTAGCACGCCGTACACAGTGTTAGGGGTGTAGGAATCACTGTGGTCAGCACTGCTGAGACACAGATTCGAATGTAGGCACGTTTTCCAGAAAGGGCTTCGGTGGCTTCTCTTCTACTTCACTGTCCGACTTATCTTACTGGTTTTATATAAAACTCCTGGCGGCAGCAAATCTCAGTGTTTTGTAATAATCACCTGATGTTGTTTAGGCTTCTGAACCTTCATGAGTTTAGGAGGAATTTTGTTTGCAGAGGTGCTGGTCCAGTCACAAAGAATAGCTAAAACACCGCATGATTCGCTCCCGGGTGTGGACTTGAAAGAGCCTATCATTTAGCCTGTCCGTTCCATTTTTAGTATTCGAGAAAGGAAACAAGAAAACTAAATTCTGAAATATAAGTTGGTTCAAAACCCGGACCGAAACTGAGATTTAGGCTTATGTTCTCATTTTACAAGTTAAATTATTGCTTGAGCTTAAAAACATTGTAGGATTAGATGTACGGGTAACATGGGCACTGGGGGAGTCTGCATTCTCTCCATGAAATTCAAGCTCTGGAAGCTCGACTCGATGCTTTAAACATACAATATATTTGATACATATGAGTTAGAGTCAATTAAATTAAGTAGTAGAAATATGAAATACAAGCTGTTCTGTACACTGAATATAGTCTTTACACATCTGGGCATGTAAAATGTTTAAAATGCCATTTAATGGCACCAACCACAAAGTAACCCATAGCAGATGTTAAGGAAATAGCTATTTATTAAACTTGATATGAATATACTGACTTTAATGGTCCTCAAAATATGCTGTAAATACGAAAAACATCTTCTAAATAAAATATTTTGTAGGTTGGATGCTTTCATTTTAAAAGCTCCAAGGTTATATTATTGAGAAAGTATATCTAATCATAGGTTCCTTTGGGCAAAGTACCCAAAATGGAAAGACATTAAACACCTTAATAGTTTTACAGTGAAGATTGTTTCAAGTGGCATGTTATTCCATTTCAATACATCTCATTTGATGCTTGATGGTACTCTAAAGAGTTTGAAAGCAATCCTACCGTCAGCTCCTCACAAGTGGGGACCCAGAGCTCACTACAGAGTGAGTCCTGACTAACCACCGAGTAAATGGTTATCAAGATCCCCATGCATTCTCTATTTTCTTTTTTTTTACTTTTTTATTTTTATTTTATTTATTTATTAAAAATTTCCACCTCCTCCCATCCTCCCATTTCCCTCCCACTCCCCCTCTCCCTCGCTCTCCAGTCCTAAGAGAAGTCAGGGTGCCTTGCCCTGTGGGAAGTCCAAGCCCCCCACCACATCCAGGTCTAGGAAGGTGAGCATCCAAACAGACTAGGCTCCCAAAAAGCCAGTACATGCAGTGGAATCAAAATCCGGTGTCAATATTATTGGCTTCTCAGTCTGCCCTCATTGTCAACCACATTCAGAGAGTCCAGTCTGATCACATGCTCATTCAGTCCCAGTCCAGCTGGCCTTGGTGAGCTCCCATTAGAGCATTCTCTATTTTCTAAGGCTTCTCTGAAACAGAAATACTGGCTTCTTGAATCTGTGTCTTTTCAGAGTTTATACCCCTCTGGTGATAAAGCGTTATCTCTTTCTGCTTCTGAGCAGAAATCTGGATGCTCATTGCCACCTTAGAGTAAGTCACAAAGTTTCCTTAAAGTTCTGGAATAACACCCGTCCTCTCGCCTCTTCAGAAAAAAAAAAAAAAGCTAAGAAATACTGAATAAATTAAAGATAAATCATTTTAAAATATTTAAAAGCTGAGATCTCTGGGTGGCTAAATCATATGCTCAGAACATCTTGTGTAATGGCTTGAAGATGATGCCAGTTACAAACTATATAAAGTACACACAGGACCCAAGAGATGGCTTAGTGGGTGAAGTACCCGCCATGGGAGCCTGGCAGTCTGAGTTCTAACCTGGAATCTAAATAAGGACAGAGGGAGAAAACCGACTCCTTGGAGCTGCCCTTTAACCCCCACAGTACAGTGGCATATGCATCCACACCCACTGATACTAGAACAATTTGAAATATGTATGTGTATTAGCTGTAAAACTGTACAATTCTTTCAGGTACTTTTTGAAATAAACACACACACACACACACACACACATATATATATATATATATATATATATGGCTTATTTATATGTATGTAAAGGCGAACCTATGAATAATCATACCCAGACACTCAATACGCATTCTCAAAAACTTACATGAGAAGAGCATTAGTGAGAGCCCCATTTCAGGTTTGCTAGATTAAATTCAATTTAAAAAATACTGCACCACGAGTAAATCCATATATTTAATATCGAAGCAATTAAAGCCAAATGAGAACACTTTTCAAACTAGGCATAGTAATTATAAAATATAAAAGTTAAAAAGCAAACAATCAAATCAGGTAATAGTTTTAATACAATAACATGGGGTAATAGTACCAACACAAAGTCATGATGTTTACACACTAGGAAAGCAGGAATAAGTGAGCTCTGAAAGTAATTCCAAAACATAAGGATGAAATATAATAAGAGGGATGTGTTATTGCTCATAGGACAGTTTAGGAAAACTAGGTATTAACAGGCAAAATCCAATTTAGAATAGTATTTGTAATTGAAGTTAAAAATAATTCTAAAAGCAATAAATTAAAGGAAAAATAGCTTCGAAAAGTTTAATGAATTTTATATTAAAAATCCACACAATGTACTTGTGCACATGCATGCAAATTAAGACAACAGAGGAGCTGACGATTAGGAATACTGCGTGATGAATGGAACTACTGGAATATTAGTATCTAGAACATCTAAGAAACTTACTGAAGCAATACCAGTCTTCGCAGACAAATAGCCAAAGAAAAATCCAACATTTAAAAGTTGTAAATCAGGAAAAAAGTTAGTACTAATACTTAAAAAATAGAAAATACTCAGAGCAATCATTAGTAAAGTGTTGGGTAACCAGATATAATCATGGTATTAATGATTTGAGGGTCAGAGCGTTAATTTAATGGCTCTGTAACTTTATTTTAGGAGTCCTACTTTTTAAGGTATACAACCCAATTTTTAAAAACATATTTTTACAAAGACTTGAACTTTAATAAAAATGGGCAAAGATGTCCATTATTATAAATCTGTTAATCAGGTTAGGATATTCATAAAACGAAAATGTGTGCTTTTTTCCTTCCTCTTCACGCACATAAACATAGGTATAGATTTTTATCCTGTGCAAGACATGTCTGCTGGCTCAACACTATTCTGACTACAAGAACCTCGCTGCTATGATTCACAGATACTGAACACCCAAGAACTGATTTTCCCTCTTCACAGAACTCACAGCCCATTACTTATTAATATCAGATATTACAAATTCCTATGGAGAAATTTTTAAATACTATATATCAAGTTGAATAAATATTTAGCTTTCCACATCAATTCTTATGGGATTTAGAAGACTACGGCCGAACTCTGTGACATAACCATGAGGAAAACAGTGGTTTCCAGACACAGGTGCAAAACATAAAAATTATATTTGTGATATACATTTTTTAGACAAAGTGATTTTGTCTTTCCTAGACTTCTTTTCTACTTATTTTCAACACAGTTGTTCTTCTTTTAGCATTATCTTCATCTGTATAAAGTTTATCTCATCTCATATAGAAATATTTCAGCTTCAAATTTCCTAACTCTATTATTTGATTTGGGAAAATTAGGGCCCATAAAAAAATAAGGATGATTTAATAAATAATAAAATGTTTACAAATATATAATCAATATTTTAAGTGCTCTGTCTCATTTTTAAAACTTTCCAGTAAGACATAGGATATATTCATATTATTCCATAATGCTTCCATGGTGCTAAGAAATTATAGATCATTACTGATGTTTTTAAAACAGCGTAAAACAGCCTCCTCTAATGACAGCTTTACATTGCACCATACTATTTGTTTAAAATATTATTTTTAATGGAATATGTATAAATCAGTAACATTAAAATGTATAGGAAAAACTGAACATCACAAACAAAATTAAAAATCATAAAAATTGTGAAAATTCCCTATATGCTGCACTGATACACACAGGAAACTAACTAAATACATTTCTGAAAGGAAAAGATGGAATCACAAAAAAAAATATTCTACCATCTTACATTTACCTTAAGAGAAGCAAACCTTTACCTGTGCAAGCATGGGAAAGCCAAGGTTCCTACATCCGTTACAAGGAGTTAGTGCTTCCCAAAGTCCTGTGGGCCCACAAGTGTTTGGATCCTCCTCCTCTTCTTCCACTTCTCCTGGTGACAAATTTATTGTAGATGAAGTTCTCTGAAACCAAATTTATATATATTATACCAATATATTATATCAATGTTACTTATATGTCATAACATCAATGAAATCACAATTGACACGCTTGCATACCTTAGCAAGCCGGCTGCCTTCTAGGCTTAGTTATCAGACCTTGCCATCTTGCATTTTGGCCTTACTAGGCCAAAAATACATATAGTTCAATTAAAGTTCAAAAGTGAAGAAGGTGGGTAAGAAAGACACAAACGAATGAAGTTTGCAATGGGAAACAGGACATGGTAATGACCCAAGAAAATGTGTGAACAGCAACGAATGAGAAAAACCTTATGGTGCGTCAAGAATCTAAGCTTGGTCATAGAATAAAGGGAAGTGTAAAAAGGAGGCTAATATGAAATGGTTGAATGAAATAGGAATTATTGTAAGAAATCCTTTAAGGAGGCCACCCAAAGCAAGCCCCACAAAGTATTTATGATGCGTGTGACAGGAATAAATAATACTTTAAAATTTCACCAGTAGATTACATGCCGCTTACCCTCTCCATCTCCCAAATCCTACTAAAGTGACTGCAACGGGTTTATACGTTGCTTAAAACGATGAGACAAAGGCAACGAGATCAACAGAAGCAGATGAGCAGTGTGAAGAACACGTGTGGACAATGACGGGCAACTCAACTAGAGACAGGGAGGGATTAGCTAGGAAGGAGACCTTGAAAGAAAAGTGATTGCATGGTTGAGTCGTTGGAGAGATTGACAGCTCGTGAAGCTGTGAGAGGATGGCTTGAAACAGGATATAATCTCCGTGTCAGGAGGGCTATACCCCAAGCCCAACTTCTCAAGAAGGGAGCTGGGTTAACAGCTATCTCTTTGTAGTAAAGGAAGACCCACAGCTTTCCAGAAGTGCCTCATAATCCACGATAGCTAGGTTTATACTTCCTAGGGAGAGGACAAGAGTATGCTTGGCTGTAGACACTAATTTACCATGGTCTGAATATGGTTTATCACCTCCCCAAACTCATGTTGTAGTTCAATGCCCACTGTGCAGTATTAAGAGGGTTGAAATTTTATCCACACATGGAGTCTGGAGGTGGGGCCTTGGAAAGGCAAATAGACAGGGTCGTTAAGGTAGAGCCCTCTGACTGAACACTGGTGGATTTGCCAGCGAGAAGACCATCACCAGATACGGCATCTCAACCTTAAGCCACTAAAAATGAGCCAATATATATCTCCCTTCTTTAAACGTTATCTAGCCCATGTTACTGGGCAACTAGTAACAGAAAAGGAACTAGCAACCTTCCTGAGAAAGATTATCTGTGACAAACAATAAGGAAATGGTAAAGTTGATATTGTTATCAATACTGTGAACTGTCCAATCATAAAACATTTCTTAATGTTTCAGCTACATAGAAACAAGGGTTGTCATCGATTTGAAGAAACTGATTTTTAATTGCATTTTCCTCGGGGGGATAAAGATATCCATGAAACAAGAACAGAAGAATACCATCGAATACATGCATTCGCAAATAAACCCATATGTAGATACATACACATAAGTACAAACTCACACTGCAGAGAGAAGAACTGGAAAACCTGATGAAATTTCAAAACAGATAGAACACAAAAAGAAACTAGAAATTAGGAAAACTAGGGGATTTTTTGAAAGGCCCAAAACTTAACAATGTGAGTTTTATAATCATTAGAAAGAGAATATAGATAAGAAGATCAAGGAAATGACAGATGAAACTTTTCAGGAATTAACTAAAAAGTCTATTACCAAAGACCCCGCTAAATGCTCAATGGACTTGATTTTAAAAATATATATAAATCTTAAAAAATAACAACAAATGCTGGCTTGAACATGGGGAAAGGGGAAGAGTTATTCACTGTTAGTGGAGTGTAAACTGAGGCAGCCACTATGTAAGTCAGTGGGGGAGGTTCCTCACAAAGCTAGATCAGGTCTACCGTAAGTTCTGGCTGACTGTTCCACTCTTGGGCGTATACCCAAAGGACTCTATATCCTACTAGAGAAATATTTGCTTAGCCACACTCATTGCTGCTCTATTTACAAAAGCCAGGAAATGGAAACATCCTAGATGCCCATTGATGGATGAATGAACAATGTAACTGTTATACTTTACATAATAGAATATCATTTAGATGTTAAAATGAAATTATTAAATTTTCAAGTAAATGGATGGAGCTGGAAATATTCAGTCTGGGGAAAATAAAATCCAGAGCCAGAAAAATGAATGTTATATATTTTCTCTCATTTATAGACAATGGCATTGAATCTTTAGATGTTTGTGTTTCATTTGAAATACACAGAGGTCAGTAAGGGATCTTGGAGGAACTTTTAAGGGAGGGGAGATAGAAAGAGTGGCATAAAGGGGGAAAGATGAATAACAGAACAGAAAGGATTAAATGGGGTGTGGGGAGGGAAGGCAGGATAGAGAAGGAGACAATAGAGGCTTCAGTCCTAGTGATTAGCTTTCATAGTGCTATATGGTACTATGCATACTACCAGAGAAGAAAATTAAACATCAGTTTTACCCAACTGTGAGCCCTGTGGGTTAAAATAATAACCTGCTTGATAAGTTACGCCCACTGGTACAATATTGACATGACAGTAATGGAAGTAACCAAGCACTTTCTCAAGATGTTTAAGACCTCATTCACAAGACGGAACTATACTTGGCACCATTATCAGAACTAGAAACCTGTGGATAGATAGATCATAGACAGGCCCTAGGGAAGAACCTACCATTCTTTTAAGTGGATATAGTATTTAACTAACTCCTAGTGTCTTATTATTTTACCTGTAGATCAGTGCATCTCTCGGACATCATCGTCAGAGCTTCTTTTTGCAGTAGATGGTAACTAACACAGAGACCCACAAGTCATCACAATGAAGAGAATTAGCACTGAACAGTGCTCATCTCTACATGGTACTTCTATAACACAGGCCATCTTCCCAAGGTTCGGGATTTTTTAAATTAAAAAATTAAACTTTGTGAAGGTCTTCAGAATGCAGTATCCAGGGTGATACTGACGGACCATGGTTGTTAGGGTTGAGCAAAGACATTGGATTGTATAGTTAAAACTATTCTTCTCTTCCCGCTATAAATGGAACTGATTTTTCTGCACCCACATTTTAGTTCCCCCTTTATCGATTGCCAATAACTAGGAAATAGAACAATTAAACATTCTCTTAATTTTTTATTGCCTCACATTGTTATGAAAACTTGTTATGTGGCTTGTATCATCATGGGACCATTTTCTGTTAATTATTCTATTCACGAAGCAATTGTTGAGGCAAACACTATTTATTTTTCTTGCTTTATAAACAAGAAAACCAAGGCAAAGAGAACTTGAGTAAAACCCAAAGTCACAAAACTGGCAAGTGCCGATAGATAGATAGATAGATAGATAGATAGATAGATAGATAGATGATAGACCGATTGATAGATACATAAATAAGTAAAAAGTTTAATCCCAACTGCCAGCTGGAAGACCTTCTCTCACCTCTTTATACATAATCCTGTAAACAGTAAGTAATTAAAGAACTAGGCTGTACTTTAAACAAAATATGCACACGAACTTTCTCACTCTGAAGACCAAACCCTCTACCTTGTGAAGTCGAAAACATTAATCTAATGCGTGGAACTAGAAAAAAAAAAACATCATCCTGAATGAAATAAGTCAGACCCAGAAAAACAAACATAGCATACATGGATGCTACCTGTTAAACCATTGATAAGCATGCTCTAATCTGTATAACCACAGAGGTTAGATAGAGAGTAATGAACTAGAGGGAGAAAGGTGCATCTCCCTAGGAAGGGGAAATAGAATATATAGATGTGAATGGATGGAGGAAAGGGAGACTGTGATTAGAGAAACAAACAGCGACCGGAAGTAAGATGGGGTGAGGAAGGAGATACAAAGAGGGACAGCAAAACTGAGGGCCATTTGAGGGGTCATATGGAAATCTAATACAGTACATGCTTTCTATGATAGATACATATATGAAGGTGCTCTCAATTAAATCTCCAAATAATGGAGGAGACAGAGCACCAGCTTGACATCTCTGGTCACCAAATGAAGCTTCCAGTGCCGGGAATGGGTTACATCTAACTGAGTTGTTGGCCAAAGGGGTACTATGGAAACTCGCAAACAAATCAGGTTATTGCCAAGGCTCTCGCCAAACTGATGGTGAAGTCCTCTTACTGAAGACAACACCTACACAGCTCACTGAACATGAAGAAGTTGAACCTGTGCCTCCCAAAAACCCTCACCACTAAGGACTAGTGTTCATGGTACCAGAGGAGAAACGTGAACACCAACCCAGCTACAAACCCTTCAGTGCACAAGAATGGCCTGCCTGCAAGATCTGCTGGTGCAATAGTGGCACAAAGCTTGTGGGAGCAACCAACCAACATCTGATTTGAGTTAAGACCCACTCTAGAAGATGCAGCCCATGTCCAATTCTGCTTGGGTGGGCAACAACCTGAAACTAAATGGGCCAGGGATCTAGGGGGAAAATAGATACTACTGTTTGCTAAAGAGACGTGGCAATAAACATTTGCTATAATTATATATCCAAGCCTTGTTCAATCATCATCACTGTTCTTCCTGCAGTGGATGTGAACAAATACAGAGACCCATAGCCAGACCATCTGCAGAGAAGCAAAGAACTCGGAACACTCAGCCCTGAAGGAGATATGTCTCCATCAAATCCCTCACCTTGAAAGCTCAGAGCACTCAGTGGAAGAGGAGGTGGAAACAGTATAAAGGAAAAATGGGATGGAGGACATCAAGGACCCAAGGACTTCTAGACACAACAGGGATGGCAGGCATATGAACTCACAGAGACTGTGACAGCATGCATAGGGTCTGCATAGGTCTGCACTAGAAGGGGTTCTAGAGCTGAGAGGAGTAGACACATGTTCCCATCCCTAAAGTTGATAGCCACTTGCAAATAAATAAGTTTTCTCAAGGGAGAATCATGAGAGAAACAAACCAGTC